GGGGGGGGGGGAATACTCAGACTGGCAGTTGCAATGAATTTTCTATCTAAGCAAGCAGCCACCAACATTCTAAAAACTGCAGTTTTTATCCAGTTGGGAGACATAACGAAACTTAATTAACCATTTCTGCTCCAGTGCAGACAGCCAAGGCAACTCCTTACAGAGTTTATTAAGGCTGTAGTAGCACAACATTAATTTGTGTACTACCAAGATCTGAGACAGTTCAGATAAATAGGGCGAAAGTAAATCAATAGCTTATACTTGTGCAAGGTGTTACTCAATCCCAAATGCGGTCCTATCAAAAGGACTGTTTTAAAGTTTAGTTCAAAACATGTAACACACTTACCCAGCATGCCACCAGCCACCAGAATGTCAAAGAGTGTCTCTGCATAGCGGCGATAATCGAGTTTTGCTCCAGAAGCATCAAGAAACTTTGCTACTGCTTCCAAGTCAGTGCCAGTTTCAGTTAAGCCTTGAATAATACAATCCTGAAACTGAGTAGGGTCAAACCTCTCTTTTTCATCTGCAAAAAACAACATATTGCTGGTTGACAGACTATTCAACTACTTAAATTTTTCAAGTTGGAAGATATTGTTAAAGATGGCTCCTGTAAATGCATTTACTATATTACCGATAGTTTCAAGTGTTGAAGTTTAACAAGAAGCCTCAAAATACTGTGTACAGATAATGATAACCAGCCATTATTTTATTAGGGACCAGTCAGAAGTAAGCAATCTGGTCTGAAAAATATCAAGACTGCTGCAATCCTCAGGATGAAGTGCAATTATGTTTGGACTTCAGCAAGTGACCTGGTGTTTCACTTAAAATGTAACAAGATGTACATCAATCCTTAGAGGCCACGGTCACAGCATTCCCCTTTCTCAGCTTCCTGCTAGGAAGGAATCATTGCTATCTTTTACATCGTAGCCCAAGAACAAGTTTTGCTCCTTTTACCATGTCTTGGATGGAGAAAACCAAAATGCATGGCATACTGGAGACTTAACATGCTTAAGTATACTTCCATGCAGACTGCATTATTCATTCCATACAAAACTGAGCATCTCATTTCATTTTTTCCAGTTAGAAGTACCAAGTCACTATTGAAGCCAACTAGTTTGAATTGGTTAGTTTAGAAAGCACTGATGTGGGTTGAAATGCTCCCCCATTTAGGGCCACAGCATGTGCAGAAAGGCATGACTTAGCATTATAGTAAATTTTCTTCTTACAAATGATAAACCTGTGAAGGTTATGTTATTTGCTTCACTGCATACAACTCATCTTCACAATTTTGTACATGAAGTAGGGCCTTGGTAGTTTGAGCTTAACTACTGAGGCCTACTGCCCCTTTAAGGGAAGTTTCAAATTGTTTGCTTTTTCAGCATTGTACCTATAACCAATTCTAGCCAGTCAATCTAGACAACATTCAGCTAAAGGGTTTGAAGTGACTGATTTCAACTGTCTTGCCCCAGCTTTGCTTTGTAATGGTGGAAAAATAAGGAAACCAGTTCAGTCCCCTTATTCAACAGATCTAGGGTTCTACATTTTAAAATGCTTAACACTTGCTATCACATTCCATTAGTTATGCTTCCATCTTCTCCTGTTCAAGACTGAAGTTTCAAACAGTTATATTAGTGATTATGGCTAAGCCTCACAACTCCTTCCAAAGAACAAAATCTTTAACTCAAATTAAGAGTACCTTTAGTTAATTAAGACAAAATTTAAGTAATGGAAATATTCCCAAGTCTCTCTGAATCCTGTTAAATGCGTCTTTGAACTATTAGTCACCAGGCAGAAGGAACCTGCCACCAGAGACAACAGAGATGGTTAGCTGCACTAATCTGAAGCTGAAGGTAGGGCAAGGTAAGGGTGACACCTTAGAGCAGGGGTCAGCAACCCCTGGCATGCATGCTGAGCATGGCACATGAGGCCATTTTACTCAGCACACCACTGCCAGCCAAGCAGCTGCTGCCAGCCATGGATCCCAGGCTGCTCCCAGCAGGCAGCTGGGAGGCTGCAAGCAGACTGGGTCCGTGGGCTGGCTGCAGCCATGAGGCTGCAAACAGCTGCTCTGGGCGCCAGCGTATCAGCACCTTTCAAGGTAAACATTGTGGGTCCCCCCCCCCGCCGCTCTCCGGCCAAAAAACATTGCCTACCCCTGCCTTAGAGACCAAACGGTTCACAGGGGCATGATCTTTTAGGCAAGCATTTGACAAAGTAGCTACAAGAGCTCATGCCTCTCTGAACCATTTAGTCTAAGGTACCACCCTGCCCTACCTTCTGCAAAGACTGCAGATGTTAGAAGCCACTGGTCTAAATTACTTCAAAAAAAGCTTCCACTTTTGTAGAGATGCTTGTTTTATTTAGGAGGAGTGCTCATTTGTTCAATAATGGCCTCATCCAGTGCAGGTTTCAACATGTTTGCCATAGCTGAATGCAAGTCTAGAGGCAATCTTCTTGAAAGCTCTGCTGAGAAACTGGGCAATCCTTTTTTAGGCAGCTATCTATGGGACAAACTGTTAGCAGTAAAAGATACCACACACAATGGATTGGAACGCATTCTTAAAACACTGGTTCAATTTAGTAAACAGAATTTTAAGTCTCATTTTCAGAATCAAACATGTTACAGGATTAACCGACATGCACACAGCAGCAAGCAAAAGCCCTAAACCAAGATCACTAGATTGGGCAGAGTTAACCCTCTGAAAGAAAAGTAAATGCTATTAAGTTATAATTTAGGCTTTATCTGTTCAGAATCTTCCCCAGGGCAGTATAATTTTCTTTCCTGTTGCCTAGAAGAATGGGAAACCAACAGTAACAACTACCTACTGGATGACCTACCCTGGGATACCTGCATGTCTGTCCATTCCAGATCTCAGTGTACTTTACACTATGTTACAAAAAGTGTAAGTTACAAACAAGTCTCCACACCCTAAATCCTGCACTTACACTTCAGTAAATGTTCATTCTGATGCAGTATGCGTCTCTGAAGAGACCAAAAAACAAAGATTTGCATACCCAGACATGAATCCTTTACCTTAGACTAATTTAAATTTTACATTCCTCCAGACTATTTTTATTTGTTACCACCCCCTCCCTTATACTTGAAAAACAGACCGATAACCCAGGGGTGGCCAGCCTATGGCACAGGTGGTACAAGTGACTTGGGCTGCCTCTGATCAGGAATGGGGCACACAGCATAGGAGCAGATAAGACAGAAAGCGGTATGTAGAACAGGAGATTGGGCAGCAGAAGGGACTGGAGTTTTCTTATGAGAGGGTGAAGGACTAACATGTCAGTGCCTGCCAAAAAAAGATGGCCCCCGCTGAGATAATCCATCTCATCCTTTTGAGGGCAAAGGCTTAAGAGAACAGATTTTCAGATATTAAAAAGGAAAGCAAATTTCTCATTTTCCAAATGAAGCCGGATCCCAGAAGCCACAAAGATGTCCTTTCCCTCTCTGCTCCTTCTCCAAGGAACTGATTCCTCCCTCCCCCATCACTACAAAACAGCCTCATTCAGATTATTTCTATAATGTCAGCATAAACTTCTACTTCAAAGTAGCTTACAACCCTTGAGTTTAATTATTATACTGGAAGAGCTATTTCTCAAGTTGGGGGCATAATAACAATAAAATGTATCATTTGAGTTCAAACCAGAGGCTCCACATTAGTAAAGATATATATGTTGTTTCAATATTTTTAAAATTTATACCAATTTATACTCATATATTTTGCTTTCAAGTACCCTCAGGGTGCAACACATGCTTTCCATATACTCAGGAGAAGTATACGTATACGCCAAGTGCCAGCTTTGCGGGTCTCTGCTCAGCACAGGTATCTAGACGCAAAGTTCCAGAACGGAAAGATGTACCAACAAATGCACATTTATCCATTTGCTCACACACCACAGTATGTGCCATGCGCTCTGACGTACCCGTGCCAATGTCAGCCACAGGCGACAGAAACAAACAGCCTACTTGCATGGAGCAGTTAACATTTACCTCTTTTTCTAGTTTTAAAACGCTGGCCTGATAGCGTCGGCTTCTGCTGCTTTTGATTATTCATAAAAGACACTCTGCAGAATAAAGAGAGAAAAACATTTTATCCCGATTTCTTTGGGAAAAAGAAAACATTCTTAAGCAAATTTCTAGTTTGGGAGAGTGGCAGACAGACTGCGCAGGTCTCTGCACCAGGGTAGCGTCACCTGCTCCGGCACAGACCTGTGGGGGAAGCAGCAGCAACAGGGCACGGGGAAGTGACACTGGATGAAGTCACAGAGGAATAAGGCTCTACCCTGGCGCCTGTCCTG